TCATAGGGTGGTCTTTTATTTTGTTTTCCTTTTAAATTTAAGAATCAAGGTATGGAAAGGAAAACAGAGATACAGAGAGAAAGAGAGAGAGGGGATGGGAGAGAGGCAGAGAGATCGAAACAGAGAGTGTGGAGACAGAGAAAGAGACATGCACAGACAGATGGACAGAGCGGAGAGAAAGAGAGAGAGAGAGATAGAGAGAGAGAGAGAGTCTATCAACAGCAAAGCAATGAAATATCATTACATAAATTAAATGGCACCAAAAACAAAATGTATCAAAATGACAAATGACTGAATTTTCAGTGATGACTAATTGATTGTCGAGTAATACTTGGTCAGCTCTTGTACAATTCTCATAAAAGGCATACAAACGTTTCTCCTACAAGTGCATGTAAGACAGGCTCAATTCACTCCAAACATGTACAGCAGATCTAACTCAGGGTTAGAGTATAGCATTGCATTGCTAGTAATAACAGAACAAAGAAATCACTTGGTAGACATGATTATATGTACATTAAAAGATGGCATTTCCATTTGATATGCTGTTTTAGGTCCCAACCATCAATGAATCAAGAATGTAGATGTACATACAACATTCGCATATTGGATTTCATTTTCTGATCGAAAGTAAAACTCCCAAACTTTTTGTGCAAAACAAATTTGCATTCACCAATGCAACCCCTGTACAAATACCCTTGCAAATGAAACTATTTTGAGTCAAACATTTTTGTGGTAAAAAAGAAACATGCAATGATTTGCAGCATAAAAACTTTCATGTATCTGAACCACCCAAGATATTGGCCAAAGATTATGTTCCTTCATTCTTATCAAAATTCATCAGCACCTATGGATCAAGAAAACATGGACAACTGTTTCGATTCATTAAGAATACAGCAAACTCCTTTACCATTTCAATTTTGCCAACTCCACCCAAGATATTGGCCAAAGATTATGTTCCTTCATTCTTATCAAAATTCATCAGCACCTATGGATCAAGAAAACATGGACAACTGTTTCGATTCATTAAGAATACAGCAAACTCCTTTACCATTTCAATTTTGCCAACTCCCCCACCCCCCCCCCCCCCCCACCCCCTCCCCTCTCCCCCGGCCCCCTTCAATCTCTCTACACCCACAATAAAAATTGCAGCACAAATCAAACCAAAAAAATAGTATTGCTTCAGCACCAGGGTATTAAAAGGAAGGAAAATCAGTTGCTTGACACTTGACCTCCATGTAAGTAAGAGTTCAACGACCTCAAAATCTTTGTCATATATTCACAATATGTTTCAAGAAAAGTAACATTATTCTGTAGCACTAATGTCACATGAATTGAAAAATTATATGGCTGTTCTAAGAAAGAAAGAAATGTCTGATATTGGCACCAGATTAAAAGAAAGGGAATGAGTTGCTTCACATTTTTTTGCATGCAAGAAGAGTTCACTAGATCGATCATATTTGGCATGTATTAATAGTCTGTTTCGAGACAATTAAAACTGATCTGTATCACTAATGTAACATAAGGAAAATTACATGGTTGTTCTACTAAAAGATGTATAATCATTGTATAGAGGCACCAAATTTATAAAAGGGGAAACGTTGCTTTAACTACGGTAAGCAAGAGTTCAATTGACTTATTGTTATCTTTGCTCTACACTCAAGATATGTTCCGAGACAATCAATGTTGTTCTGCAGAACTTATGCAAACAAGAAAAGAAAAGTGGACAGAACATTGTTGTTCAACTCAACTAAACAAAAGTATTAAATTGAAACCCAGTTCAGAGGAAGAGAATATCAATTTCAATTCACTTATTATCTTTGGTATTCACAATATTCTTAAAGACAATCAATAAACAGAATAATGCAGCAATGATGTTAAAAAAAAAAAAAAAAAAAAAAAAAAAATGATACAACTGCTCTACTCATCAATAAAAATTTCAATAATGTACTGTTATGGCAATGTCCAATATGAAAATTAATGCTAAGCTGCAATAAACTTATGGCAAACTCAAATTGAAGTACTTTTATGAAAATAAATTGTATAAATTATTCTTTGTCTTAATTTAACAAGCAATAGGCAAGATCCCTGGCTAAAATCTCATTCACACAACAGAGTAATCAGCAAAAAAGAACAAACTAAAAACAACAAATAAAATAATTGTATGCCAATGAATGGGAATTCAATTGGCCTCACGCTACAAAGGCAGCCATGCTGATTCAGTTATCAGTTTGTTATGAGATACAGATTTGGACATGTACTGTGATCATTTAATTTTAATTAGCTGCAGCAGTTTTTCTTTTCAGGTGGTTTACTGTTTCATACATGTATCTGTACAAGTCTTCTATTAATCAATTAAATTTCATTTGAAGAAAAACAAATCAAGAACAACAATTTGGTTAGATGCTGCTTATAAGTATCGGCTTGCATGGTGATGTACATGGTGCAGCCGTACTGTATAACAATTTGGTTGTTATCTTTCACTTTGGTCTGGGATCATGGCTCATTGGCTCCATGGGCAAGAATGGAACATAAACTGTATACAACAAAACATGTGCAGCATCCTAAGCATAGAGTCACATCGAGGTCCCAAAAGGGAATATACAATCAAAAATGCAATAGACATGACTTACATGTACAATACTAACAAATATATTATTAAGTATTTTGCAAGTGGTGTCTTTGGCAGACTTACAAAGACAATAAAATGAATATAAAGCTCTTGTACCTATTAATTAAAGCATTTTGTCCGAACTTCATGTACAGTTGTGGCAAAGTCAAGAAGAATCAACATCAAAAAGTAATCTGAACTGTATTTCATATTCCAGGCCAATTGACGTTGGGGAAAGCCAAAAGACAAAAGACAAGTGAAATGAAATATACTTTTGGGGTGGACAATATTTTAAATAATATTATTAAATCATGAATTTATCCATTTCATTTTTTCTTATCTGTACACAAAAAGTGATAATTTGATAATTTGAATTTCTACTTATTCAAGATGCAGGAAGACAAGACAAAAAAAAATGTGTAAGTGTGCACATCAGAAATATGCACGCAAAACAAGCAATATTTACTGTTTTTAATGTTTTGATAATTGCACTCCACATTCATGCACATACATCATATTTGGTATGAATAACAGGAACACTTGCTTCAACTTTGTTTCATGTGATTTCTAAAAAAAAAGGTTACAAATCAAAGACACACAGAGGTTTATAAACCATTCAAAATTATCATGAATCTCTTGTTATGTTAAAATTTCTTCTACATACTATTATAAAATTGTTTTTATTATGGCTAATCATATACATGTACGAATTCTGAAAATAACTTCTATGGTTCTATCTTTACAAACAAAGTCCAACTGTGATTGCAACTTGTGTCCTAATTTATGTTTCAACTCCTGTCCAAATTTGAATCCAAACATACGTTTAAAGTTGTGTCCAAACGAATATGGGCTAAAGTCAAGATTACCGGTAGGCACTGAGGTACGGTGGTTCATTCATTTAGCTGTCAGGTAGAGGGTTCAAATCTCTGCACAATACAGATGTCCTTAGAAATAAGACATTACATACAGAGTATGTTCTTGGAGATGGCTCAAAGTAATACTACAGCATTTATTATGCGCCATTGGTCTAGTAAACTATTCTGAGTCGCAGAGGGAGATTATAACCCTAGCTTTAGCACAGCTGCCATTGTGGCGCTCTAGCATTTCAAGGAATTAATTCCTGCCAGGTACCCATTTACATCACCATGTCTTGCCAAAGGATATTAGTGATGCGGCAGGAATCGAACCGCACACCTTGTGATCGACAGTCCGGTGACATATCCACTGCACCCTGACACCTCTACATAGTATTGAAATATGACAGCCTTGTATGATGTATTCATCATGTTTTTGCATATTGAATAGTAATAAAATGTCAGAGAGTTTACAGGGAACTTAAACAACCATCAGTAAATTTGTATACTTGTATGTCAGCATTAGATTTTTAGTATTTAGGTTAACCCTATTTAGTCCCTCAACATTTTTCGCGATAATTTTTTTAACGCAAGAAAATCTTGCACTGAAATTTTGTGACTTATTTCTTTCGAGTCTTGCACATCTTTTGAAAGAAATTTTTCGAAAATCGGACCTACCGTTACAAAGTCACGTGTCGTTTTGTCTTTGCATGTCAGCCCGAAAATCGCTCATTTTTGTGATTTGTGTACAAAACATATCATGAAAATCTCATTTTTCAAATAATGAGATAAAACATTGGTTATTTGGTCTTGTTTATAGTTTAGGTGTTTATTTTGGGGTCAAAATAGTTGAATTATAGCTGGAAATGAAATAAAACAACAAAAACAATGAAATACATGCAGTGTAAGTTAAAAAAAACAAAGAAAATTATCAAAACAATAGATAACATAAGGAATAACCCTGGTTTTTCAATTTTTTGTGTTGTATTATTATTCCAAATGGTCTAACAAATATATGTAGTGAGAAAGAATGCTTAAATATGAATAATGTCTGATTTATGGGCAAAAATGTTAATTTTATGACCTTATTTGCACAAATTACCATAGATATGCAAATGAGTAAATTTTTCAAAAAATTGAAATTACCATAGTGTTCTATACACTTCACTTGACATGTACGCAAATTTTCGCGGCGATCGGGCGTTTCACGGCCGAGATCATGGGGGGGGGGGGGTGGGCCTTAGAAGCCCCCCCCCCCCCCCCCCCCCCCCCCCCCCCCCCCCCCCCCGGGCTATGCAGTTTCAAAATAGCCCGGGCTAAATAAGGTTAAAGCTCCAGTCCTAGAACCAGTAAACCTTAGGTGAAACTTTAGTTAGATTTTACATTATCCAGCTCTGTGCAAAGTACATGGCGATAGGCTTCCTGGCACTGGGAATCTATGGACACATACTTATTCTTTTATAGCTTTGTAGATAAAAATATATTCAAGCATATTGTCCACATTGTCAAATAAACAGCGTTCTTCCCAGGATAAAGGATCAAAATGTCAGAGTCTCTGTATTCTCAAGCCAGAAATCTGTAAGCTTACCCTTTACATTCCGACTCATGCTGATCACCTCTCTCATAATACTGTCATACACTTTCTCGTCCCCGCAAGCGCTACAGCGCCATCGCTTGGTCAGCATGTGGTTCATGGACCAGAGGAAGCCTACGTTGTCGAACCGGCCATCCACGTGCTTCTCGCGGACCTCCCTGATGCTCCCACTCCGCATCGTCCTCCTCTCTTCCGTGAACGCGACGTCAGGCTCGTCGTCGTCCATGGTGTCGACGATGTCGAAGCTGCTGTCGCGTCCCACCATGATGGGGATGCCGCCGCTGGAGTTCCTCCGCCGAGGAGCCTTCACGACCTCGCAGGGCGAACTTCGTCCCTGACCTGTCGGGGTCACGGAGGGGACGATGGGAGTCTCGTCCGGGGAGTTGATTAGAGAGACGAAGCATACTCCTGATTTGTGGATGTATTCCATCTGGTGACCACGCCTACTGGAATGGAAGCCGAACCCGTCAAAGGTGCCACGCCCCTTATCACGTATCAAGGTAAAGCCAAACCTGGAGAACAAGAATGCAAATAAGATATAGTATTAACTATCTGTATCTTCCAATTGTCTAATAATAATAATAATTATAGGCATCTCTATAGCGTCGTCTAGCTAGGGTTACTTTTCGGAGGCGCAATAACTATTACCCCGGCTTTAGCCTTGCTGCCATTGCAGCGCTCCAGCATTTCAATGAATTAATTCCTGCCAGATACCCATTTACCTCATTTGGGTCGAGTGTGGCAAATGAAGATTAATGCCTTGCCAAAGGACATTGCAATATCGGGGATCGAATACAACTGTTCAGTACTTGCAATCCTTTCTCAGCAATCTGTAATTAGTGATTGGTTTAGGGATAGGGAAAGTTGTCAGGGAAGGTGTTGGAAATTTGAAAACCAAGAAACAGACTGCAAAATGATAAGTCTACTTCTAAAGAAAAGCATTTGTGAATTCAATTTCATTGTTAGTCAAATAATTGGTTACAGAGCCAGAAGAGCGTTAAGTCTGCATAAGAGCACATGAGTTAACCCCCTTCTGGCTCCAAACATACGGTATCTAAATCACCATAATTTAAAGCCCCACTGTACTACTTGTACCTACTTGCTCCCTCTATATAGAAAACAATGCCTTAGCGGTGCCCATTGGTCCCCCATGATCCTCTTTTTCTTATGTTAATTGAGAGCTGAGTTGATGAGATAGCCACCTGTCAGTGACCATGCTGGGTGGTCTAATCCCTCCTGGCCAAACTAGTACAGACAGGCTTAAAGTCAAATACCTTGTATATTCCTTATCATGCAAATGACTATTATACTTGCATAACATCCATTTCCCCCCCCCCCCCCCCATTATATTAACTGTTGCGAAATTTGGAAATCATCTCCAAAAGAGACTGCAAACTCACTTTTTCATGATGAGTTCTTGGAAGAGGTCTATGGCTTTGTTCCCCGGTTCCAGGCCCAGCCAGCTTCCACCACCACCACCGGCGACGCCCTCCTCATCCAGCATCTCACCACCGATGTGCCTCCGGTTCACGTCGTCCTTGAGGGACTGGATATCGAGGGGTATGAAGAGGGGGCAGCGCAGGGGGTTGGCAAACTCGGGGTGCTGGTGGAAGGGGTCGGTGGGGGCGGGGACGAGGTGGTAGCCAAACGTGTTGGCCTTTCTGGACCACCCCTGAAGCTGTGGGGCGGAAATGAGACAGGGGAAGATTGGAATATAAGAATATTTCTATTTTGTCTACCTCTCATTTGATGGTTCTTCTATGGTTTTAAACACAATGATATAGTTTCTCATATATACATTATATATTTTTACAATGTGTGACCAAAACAAATTTCCATGTATTCTTGTGAATTTGGATGTATAAAAAGAATTGAATTGAATTGAACAAATTGAAATGAAGAAAACATTTAGTAGTACATGAGATTTAATCAATTATTAAATATATTTCAGATTTAGGTAACAAAAAATAGATAAAATTTAGATCATCCCTTACTTACTATCTCATACATTTATAATAATAGATAATCACTTTCAATCAAGCACATGATTGAAAAACTTGACATCATGAAAATGTCAGTGCCAAACTCATACAACAACTGTCAACTAATTGTTTGTTCTCGTAAAGTTTGTATCGTACATTTCACAATAACAGGGATTAGAACTCGAATGCAAAGAAATGAATGTCCATGTCACTAATTGCCCATAATGTCCAAAACAAGACTGATATTAGACTCTTATGATGCTAGAGGGTGATTAATATGTGGACATGCACATAGCTGTTTGATTACAAATACTTACCATTTCATTCAAGAGGCTGGGGGTGCAGACTAGCCACTCCACCTGGATATCGAACGCCCGATCCACACTGTACTGGCCATCATAAGTCACATGACACCACTCTACACGGTCCGTCTTATTACAGTCGATCTCTAGCATCACGTTCCTGATCTCTTGGGGCTTAAACGCTGTGAGAAGAGAGAGATGGTAGGAATGTAAGGTGGTTTTCTCCATTGGTAACAAGATTCGCCTGTAATTCACACCTACTATTTCAGAGGAATTTAGATGTACATTTTCATTTTGTTTACTAACAAAAAAAAGGAGGGACATAAAATGCATTTAGAGTTGCTCAGAAACGATGGGCAATTCTCGCTACCCTAAATAGGTACGAAAATCTCGAAATTCGCGAGACGAGGTAATTTTCACTCTCTCGGGTCGTCACTACAACTTCCGGTATAGAGTCCCATCCCAAGTCACGGCCTTCATCCACCCCCATTTTTCAGGGTTCTTACGCTTGGAATCATGAGCCCAGCACTGTGCAGCCTCACAAAAGAAAACCATCGTCACTGATGTCAAAAGACGCAAAAAACAACGAATGAAATGTTCAAATAAACTTTGAAATATTTGCGAAAAAAAAACAAGACCGAGCAGACGACATATTCGGTGCATACACGTTGTGTGGCGACGGCGTTTTACGTTTGCGCTATCGCGCGCCTGCACAGGAAGCTGTAATGTCGAAAAGCTATCCCATAATGAAATGCGCGTTTTCAGGATTTTCCCCGGATCTCGGCAGAATCGCTATTTGGGGTAGCGAGAATTGAATAGTCAACATGTACACAACACCTCTTCAATACAATTCAAAGCAAATAAGCTATCCCCCAACAACAAGTTTACAGCTACATGTAAAACTTGTCACAGAAAGTGTTTGAAGAACACCACTACAAGTAATGCAGATGCATCACTGCTTTCCATATACAGTCAAACCTGTCTATAGCGACTGCCCAAGGGAAACACAAAAAGTGGTCCTTGTAGACAGGTGGCCTGTGTAGTCAGGTGGTCACTAAAGCAGGTTTGACTGTATAGTAAGGGAAAGATTATGACCCCTGCCATCTCCAAATTATGCTCTAACCAAAGGACAGTTGTTTTGCAAAGATAGACATGGAAGTTTAACATTTCTGGCTTGTAACTCACCTCGACTACTAGAAGGCGCAGATCCAAAGCCGGGCGTGCTACCCGACATCTCACGCATGCTCCACGGTGATATGGGATGGAAGTCCTTATCTACACCACTGCAAGGCATCTCATTGGCATTCTGTTTCCATGACAACTCCTCCATCACAGCAACCTAGAAGGTACAGTAGGATGACAGATGGTGAATAGACGATTACTTGGTGATAGCAGTTCTTGTTAATTAGCATGAAAAAGCCTGCAGGACGTGACACTGCGTTTAATAATAATAATAATAAATTTATATAGCGCAGCTTTTATACAAAATATATTCAGCTGCGCTGGTTAAGAGCTCCTTTTTACTAAATTCTACAAAATAAGATCACTCAGTTGAACAAATAAGTTTTTAAATTGGATTTAAAAACATTAAGAGATGAAGCGCTTCGTATTTCTATTGGCAAGCTATTCCATAGTTTGGGGGCAGCAATAGCAAAAGCACGGTCCCCAAGAGTTACTTTAGTTTTGCCATGGGGAATCGGAAACAATAATTTATCTGTGGAACTGCTCAGGCTACGACTGTGTGATTGGACTTTGAGTTGAAGTAATTCTTTGATGTGATTAGGGGCTTGACCACTCAATGATTTATAGACAATTAACAATATTTTGAATGAGATTAGCCTGAAAACTAGCATCCTTTCCTTCTTGCATCCTGTCTCCCTCATCCCTCCTCACTACTTTCCTCCCCTCGCTCTCCTCCTCCTCCTCCCTTGCATCCTTCTCTATCTTCCTCCTCTATATTCCTCCTCCCTCCCCCTATCCTCTGCTACCTCCTCCTCCTTTTTCCTCCTCCTGCTCCTACCTTCTTCTTCCCTCCTTCCTCTTCCTTCTCCTCCTCCCCTCCGTCCTCACCATCACCATCAATAATAATAATAAGAGTTCGTTCTTATACATCCCTTTTCAGGACCCCAGGCCCTCTCAAAGCGCTTTACAGAGGTATCTTATTACCCGGGCCATCGGATTCAGGTTTACCCGCACACAATATATGCACATTCTCCACTCCCTGGGGAGCATTCCAGCCAGGCGGCATTCACCATCACTATCACCATTATCATCATCATCATCACCACCACAAACACTAGAACTTGCATCACCACCACCATCATTATCATCAAAACCCCATCATCTCCATCAATATCATTATAATCACCGGCATCCTCACTATCATTATCAATACCAACAACCATCATTAGCACCAATTCAATTTTGTAGTTATACAGTGAAACCTGTCTATAAAGACCACCCAAGGTAGACAAGAAAAGTGGTCTTTATGTACAGGTTCCTTTAGTACATGTTTCAATGAGAACCCATTTTCAAGGGAAACAAAAAATGTGGTCTTTGTAGACAGGTGGTCTTTCTATACAGGTTGTCATTCAAGCAGGTCTGACTATATATACAATACCAACACGAACGTCCATTATCAGCACCAAGTCCATTTTGTTCATACCTCAAACCAGTGGCTAGTGAAGTCATTGTTGATGGGAAGCTGAGGGATGTAGTCACCCCACAAGTGCGATTTGGTTGCATCCGAAATGGGAGGTACATTCTCTGGAAGCATCAAGCAGTAGACGTAGAAGCCATGGAGGAAGGGGATGTGAGGTAAGCCGGATGCATGCTGGATCAACCTATTATCTGACATGTTCTGAGTAACACAAACGAGAGGCAAAAATAATAGCATTACGACAAATGAAATCTCAGTTTTCTAAATTCCTTTGTTCCTTTCTCTATCCACAAATACAATCAAAATGCTACCTGAATTTCACTTTCTTCTTTATTTCTGTAATGTTATTGTTATAATCTTTTCGTGCCATCTGCTCACTCAAACACTTGAAATAATTCACTCATTTTGTTTATAATAACGTAAGAAAACTTTTGTATAGCAATACAATGAAGGATTTTTATGTCAAAGTATAATGTAAACTTATTTTGATTTCCAATATTGACCTATGAATTGAATTGAAATGAAACTGAAATTTTAATATTATAATTTCTTGCACAGTGATCCACTATTTCATAACTAGCGATTACACATACATGTAAATAATACTTAGAAAAAAGTAAACTTTGCAGGAATGGTTTTTGATTTTACATACATACATGTGTGTATATGCAGTGTGCTAATTTACACTACAACATTAATGGGAAGGTCAATTTCTTATAAAGTAATAATGATAGCAGAAAATAGGAGATACTGAACAGTGAGAGTTTGAGAAAAGTTATATAAAGGATAAGAAACTTATGAATTTTTAAATCTGTACTCAATGAAATGCAAATTGGCAACTATGTGATTTGCCTCTTTCATTTGTTTTGTATCAAAAATGAAGAATACATCTATTTCATAGAAGGAGTATATTAATGTGAAGATGGCTGAGCAAAAAATAAATCTAGGGCACAGGTACTCACTCACCTTCAACAGATCAAAAGCTTCTACATCGGTGACCTCATCGCTGAATGACCTCTGAACCCAGGTCATAGCCTCACCAGACATGAAGCAGTTTGGGGGGACCCCTTTCTGTCCAGGGGCAATGAACCTCAACCCTTTACTGGAAAGACATAGAAAGGAAAGAAACGAAATTGCATCAGTGCTGGTTTTCAATTTATGAACCCATTGCTTACTGGACCCTGGTAGTTCCTGTATAAAAGCCTATGGGTATGAAAGATTCAGTAGTCAAAAGGTTAAGTCATCATTTCACTGAGCCTTCATCTTGGCTATTAAAGTAAAAGGGCTTCAATCTTATTCAGAATCATTATCGAGTAGTGTACTTTAGCAAGCAAAGCCTTTTGCCTGAATATTAACATGAGCTAACAAGTCTATGGAATCTGATGCTGGTTTGTGAATATTGGTTTTTGTTTGACAAGCAAAGTAAAGTACTGGCTGCTTTTGTGGGCAGGTATATGACCTTGGCAGGCATATGACCTTGTGACCTTGGGCCACTCCAATGGTACAACAGCTGAGGGTTATTTGTGTTTCCGTCTGCTGGCTGAAGATGATGTCATTTTATGAGGTCACAATGAGCAACTGATCAAGTCATAATAACTCTTTAAATATTATTCCTTACCTTACAAATGTGGTAAAACTTACTACTCAAAGGTGGAGGACATAAAATATTTGCAAACACTCGCTTCATTTGAGACACCTGCAGAATCTTTGCGGTCTCAAATATCGCAAGAGTACCAATTCTTCTGATCTATGCCCTTCTGGAATACTGTAAACGATGTTATTTTTGCACGATTAATTTTTCGCGTTGAGCAACCCCAAAACATATTCGCGGGTCTACAAATTCACGTTGCACGCAATTCAGCCCGTTCAAAACATGCATAAGAAGTCATGCTTATATTTTTGCGAGTTCTAAAATTTGCTATTGGAGATCTTAGCGCAAAATCCGTGAAAATTAATGTAACGCAAATATTTCCACGTTTACAGTAGTTGAAACTAAATTGAACTCAAGTTTCAGATGAGATGTGTACTTGTATACTGACCTTGGATCAGCCATAGCCTTAGCAATGACTTGTAGTGGAGTGCATATTGTAAGGGATTCTTCACTGGTAGTGGCGACAGCAGGTGCATTAGGAGGGTGTGGCGCTGGGCTACCAGTCCCACTAGCATGTCTCTGTCTATCAGGCACTGGAGAGGACCTACTACCAGGGTGTGTCAGGTCCCCTGCGATGGGTGTCTGGCGACCAGAAGAAGCCTATTGATGGTTTTGGATGGTTTCATGGTGATATAGAAAAACTAAATTATGTCACATTAATGATAAATATTAATATTTGTACAGCACATATCACAATATTACGATATAACATTCTAATACTCTTCCAAAGTGCCTTGCAATTTCATATATTACTCTGGTGGATATATCCTCTTTGATATCCACTTGATGTCTTGGTTGTGAGAGACAGTTGTACATAAATGCCAAACCTCCAAACTTTTATATATTCTACCCCCCCCCCCCCCAAAAAAAAAAAAAACATTTGTGACACATTTTCTCTGGACTCATAAAAGACTCATCTCAAAAGTTCTGGCATATGATTGACACAAAAGCAGATATATAGTTGTCCCCCATAAATGGTGGCCCAGAAGGATTAAAATTAAAAAAACATACCTTTGGACCTCTTGATGTGCTCGTCTGCCTGCGGATACCATTGAGGATCTCAACGAATCTCAGGAACGCATCGGTCTGGTATTGTCTGAAGGCGTGGTCCCTGTCACATGACACTGCCTCTGTCGTGCTGATCCCATGCTCGTCTGCAAAACGCTTCACCAGCACGGGCGTGTTGGGGATCAGCAAAAAGCGGGACCTCCAGAATTTCAAGGACTGTGAGAAGGAGGCCATATTTGAAGAGGGTTACTGAACAAGAAGAACTTCACACAGTAAAACTTTTAAAGTTTTAAGCACACCATATTTATACGAGGAGGAGAAGGCAGTGGATGTGGTGGAGGAGGAATAGAAGTATTCTGCTTATGTATAGCAAGTATCTTATCTAACATCCCAATACGATCAGGGGGGGGGGGGGGGCTTTCAAAATCATTGCTGGCATACAGGGTCTTGGAGCCCATCCCCAATACACACTGCAATAAAAACTAAATAATAAATTTTCAGGGAACCTTTACCTCATATTCAGGCTGTGAGGGTTTAAAAAAATAGAGAGGCGTCAGCCCCCAGGCAAAATAGTAAGCATATGACTTTACATCTCTACATACTTAATCTATTCTTGTACATTTCAAGAAAACTGATACTCAGTAAAAACTTACATCTACCAGAGAGAATTCATTGTCGTGCGAAGAGATGTAGTTATCCAGATAGTTCCAGTTGTATCTCTCTATCTCCTCGTGTCTGAATGTGGTCTGAATGGGTGAGTAGCCTTCATTCTGTACGGACCAGAGCTGGTAGGTGTACTGGATGGGTTCACACAGGGATGGATGCCTGCATAGAACACATACAATGTACGGTCATTATGTAATCATTTAATTCTGTACAGATTATTGCTAGTATCAACACAACATAGGTTGCGTTAATTGACCAATTTTTTGCCGAGAATCAGTGTTTTCAAATGCCTTTTAGGCAAATTTTTAAGGTGAAAAACGCAAAGCCTTTTTCAAACATCTTTAGATATGGGCATATTGTAAAACAAACAAAAAGTGCATTTTGAATGTCATATACAGCCAGAATCACATTTACGAGACATGATAAAAGCAAAGCTGTTTTGAACCCCACATACGAATCGGACCTTCCCAGATTAATTTCCGGTTCGGAGGCTAGCGCCCACCATGTGTTGTGTTATGTTGTTGTACAAGCATGTGTGTGTAGTTGACTTCCGAGAAACTGTCTGAAATGTTTGAATGCTGAAGGAGGCAATTATGCTACATACCTTGGTTTATAGATCGTGACTGTAATAGTCTTCCTCTCGAGATGCAGGCATAGCTTGTGGAAGATACGACCAATACTCAGCACATACTCCTTCTACAAAATCATGAGTGAAAAAAAAACCGCACAGATGGATTAGTATTTTCTATGGTACAGCCACACTTTCTTGGAATCTCAGTGAATTTAATGGGTATGTTATACCTGGGGGGCATTTCATGAAACAATTAGACTTCAGAAGAACCTCCACGTAATGTAATTCAACAGTATCGATTCCTCATCTGAACTATGGATGAGCCTTTTCTGGTCTCTCACAGGCAAGCTCTGAATAATTTCAAACAATTTGCAAGTTTTGCTGCATGCAAAATTTGTACACATTGAAGATTCCACCAATGCTTTGGTATAAGGTGTGATGCATTGTGCATGGAGCCTCAAATAGTATGTCTTTTAATCCATGAAAGACTATTAAATCCTCACATAATAAATCAATAAAGTTGGCCATGTAGTTTGGGTTTTTACAGCTGTGTATCAATCAGATTATTTATGTCTGGGGACCGACCTTTAACATCACCATCCTAAAGACATAACTCAGTCTCAAACCGGGGTCCGCTGAGTCAGTTTGTAGGCAAAGACGGAGAGCTGACCAAGTGAACGTACCACTAGACCAAATCACATCACATCCAAAAGCATCAAATATTTAATGCAAAACTCATAAAAAAGAGGACATGTTCCCTTTTGAGGGGTAATGTATGACAGATTAAAATATTCTCCTGCTTCGATCAAATGATTTGTGTATAGTTTATACTCTTGAAAACATCTGCCTACCTTCTCTGGATTAGTGATCAATGGAGGATGACGTTGGCTCCTGGTAACAGATGATAAGTCGAGGCTGGGTAGGACCACCAACTGGAAACCCTGATAAGAAGCAACAATATAGTCACAGTGAAGTGATTAATATATGTCTTACAACTTGTACAAGTATCTACATCATTGGTGATAGTGAGCACCACACAAAAAAGGTTTTTTTTTTTCCCCTCAACCACGCCCCCCCCCCTCCTTGAGTAAAAAAAGAAAGAAGAGGATTTGGGGGGGGGGAAATGGCATCCAACAACATTCCCCCCTTTTGAGTATGAAAATTGGGAAAAAATAGGGGAAAATAGAGAAAATAAGGGAAAAATAGGGATAACATTGGGAAGAAGAAAATAAATCAGGAAAAAAATTGGGAAACCGATTTAAATTGGGTAATTATCAGGCCTGCTTCTAATTATACATGTACATGTACATGTATACAAACATTAGGAGAAAAAGGCACCTCATCATCAACATGAGATGCCGTTCTGAGGCAGGGGCTAGCAGCTAAGCAACTCCAAGTTCTTTGATCATCAATCCTTGTTCTGAACTCGCCATGGCAAAATTCTGTCCACTGCTTGTTGTTCTAAAAGAAAGCGATACGCTGGCAAGGAACAGTGTATTTCTTGGTTTCTTTATCACTCCTTCAAGAAAGGCACCTAAAGAATTGTAAGAATCTTACTCCTTCGGAGACCATTTATAGATGGGCTTAACTGTCATGAAAGGACCGATGATGTCCTCCACTGCTAAGAGCTCATAGTTGAACCCCAGGAAGTCCATTCCCAGCTCTAATGTCCTTTGGCAAGACGTTAATCTACATTTGCACACTCCACCCAGGTGTTCAATGGGTACGCGGTAGGATGCAAAAGTTCATGTGGTTGGATGAGCAAGTGTGTGCTTGTAAAATAGAGACTGGCTGGAATGCTCGCCAGGGAGAGGACAATGTGCATACATTGTGTTCGGGTAAGCCTGAATCCGATGACCGGGGTAATAATATATCTGTAAAGCGCTTAGGCATATCGTTGTATCGATGTATTTGGCGCTATATAAAAGCGGAATATTATGATTATTATTAATAGCAAGTAAATGAAAGAAGAGCTTACCTGTAGAAGTCTTTGTGGTATAAGCTCCTGAAAACAGCCACCCCGTCATGAAATCATAGTTGAATTCTACAAAATATTTTTCCCAATAACTGAGGGAAATGAGAGCTCACCTGTAGTAGTCTTTGTGATATAAGCTCCTGAAATATGGCCTCCACTGTCATGAAAGGACCGATGATGTCCTCCTCTGCTAGGAGCTCATAGTTGAACTCCAGAAAGTCCCTTTCCAGTGATAGCCTGTCAGGATAGAAGTCGGTTGACACTGGCAGACAGGCCGTGGCAGTCAAGGACTTCCAGTCGACACCTGTGTATAGTAAAGGGAAAATGACATTAACCCTTCCTATCCAACCCCATCTACGGAATTTGCACATCATCAACATTCATAGACAGGTTCTACAACACATGTACTCCTTTCTATAGAGACAAAAATAAGGAACTATTGATCAATGTAGACAGGTGGTCTTGTATAAACAGGTGATCACTATAAAGGTTGTACAATTTGTAGACCATTGCAAGGCATTTTACTATCATTATGATACACCAGTTGGGTTCTCATTATAAAAAATGAAACATTATCAACAAACACCTGAAGGTCTTGGCGCTCAAAATTAGCTTTTCTTCCCCAAAACAGAGTCTTTGTCTTGATCTAAGAAGGTAAGTTGGAATGTAGTCATAGCAATAGATATATTGTGCTTGGAATTCAACTTGATTTTTAGCTTGGTTTATTGCAGAGACAACTTATTTCATATTTGATCTTAAAAGGCATGAACGATGTGAGTGTGTACAGATATACAGATAAGAGTGCATGGTCAATTCATACAAAGTATAGTGCTTTACAGTAATTAAAGGCGATGTTCAAATACACACACATGCAAATCATACCGAATGTCATACAGATATAAATAGGAAACATGGATAATGGTATATCACATACATACATGTAAATGTAAACATGTAGAAATTATTAGTGTATCACAGAATGGAATGTTTCTATTATAAGGCGGTACAAAAAAAATCAATAAACCAGATATAGTGTATAAATAAAAGCTGTTGCATGTTCCACATTATGTAAATGTATGGTGGGCAAAATGAGAAATGTTGAAATATATGCTTTTTTAGGCAGAAAAGAAAGCAAAATGATAGTACTGTATATAAAGTTCAAAAAACACAAATCTAAATTAAAGTGGAGTAATAATGATGAGGGAATATACATGAATGTATGGTGCTGGATACAAGACAAAGAAGAATTCTTTTTAACTCAGGGTAAATCATTTGTGAGAATTGTGAGAAGATGAAAAAGAAAGAAACTCTGCTATTTTTCCAAAAAAATTAAAGATGGTGATTGAGAAATCTTAATGAGAAATCTTAATGATACTGATGTGTACACATTTACACTGTATATGCTCTTTTTTTTATAGGACAAAAAACATGTAGCAGACACAGACAAAGGCAAACAGATGAAGGCAAACAGACAAAGGTAAACAGACAAAGGCAGCAATGAAAAGTAAAGAGAAGTGAATAAGAAATTTTCAAAATATATATGTAAAGACAAAAGGAAAAACAAGGAAGATCAAACACGGGTAGAGTTTGGTCCAGGAATGAAGTTGGTAATTCAGTTAAAGTGCAGAAAATTCACCAAGGAGGGATTGTCACCAGAGCATGGGCCATGCAATGAGACAAACATAACACTAGAAACAGAAATGAGGAAAAGAATAAAGCAGATGTGAAGACAATGGAAGGAGACGAGGAACAGTACCAAAGCAAAAATCAATTCAATACATAAGAGTATTAAGCCGAAACACAAAAATGAGGAGCCACCAATTTAAGAATAAATGAATGAAAGAAAGAAAGAAAGAAAATATTGGGAAGTGGGGGATAGGGGGAACAAAAGGAGGGGGGAGGGGGTTGATGAGCTCTATGACAGATAATGGTTTGAACATTCATCATCAATAATATGTAGAATGACATCAATAGCAAATAAAACACACAGAGAATAGAAACTGCATGAAGACTGCACACACAACACGATTAAGGGGTGAGAAACTTGAAAAGGCAGTGACACACGACAAAGGCACATGAACTCAACAACGAGTTCGAAAGAGGGGCATAAGAGAGAGAGGGAGAGAGGAGGGGGCATGCATTGCACCTGTCAGATAATGGTTTGAACATTCAAAATCAATAGCAAATAAAGGGCAGAGAGAATTGAAACTGCATGATGACTGCACACACAACACAGCTTAAGGAGAGAAAACCTTTTAAAAGGCAGTGACACACGACAAAGGCACATGAACTCAGAAACGAATTGGAAAGAGGGGGGAGGGGGGGGGGCAAGAGAGAGAGGAGGGGGCAAGCATTGCACCTGTCAGGGTGTATGGGGTCCACTCTTGATTGCCCGTTAAGCTCCAAAGGATGTTGAGCCTCCGTAGCGAAGGGTGCTGCTGCATGAGATGATCCAGGGAGCCTGGCCCATCCGACAGACCGCGTGTGCCTGGGCCGGGTGGAAATGTGTGACATGACTGACTGAGATAGGACAAGCATACATGGCTCAATTTAACGTTACTAAACCCAGTGGTGTGAAAGCTTTTGCGATATGGTCAAAATCTGGTTTGTCCGGTCACTCCTCTAAAGCCTCTTTCACACATGAGATGTTAAACAACGTTTTTTTTTTTTTTAATGCAGTAAATAAACGTTACATACATGTCCATGTATGTAAGCATAGCAGGCTTCCTATTTCTGTAGCTCCTATCACACAGATATGTAAGATTGCTGGGGGGGGGGATTTGTAGCATGCAGCTATTTTTTTTCATACCCAATCTTAATTTATTTACATGTAAAGATGTTTTTATTTTTCCTCAGCATTTTTTCTCAAGGCTGTTTACCATGTAATGTGTTAATTGAGGCTCAACGTTTTGGCAAGTAGAGTGTGCAATTGGACACTAGTTAGGTCTGTCTAATTCTGATAAACTCTTATGTAACCACAAATATTTTGAACCTGTTTAAAACAAATCTGTCATGTGAGCTTCTACAGCAGCCGAGGAGGATCTGCATCCAACTCAGGAGTAGGGATATGTCATTAACATAATTATATAAACTGAAGGCAAACTATACGTACCGATCAATATGTACATTCCTAAAAACATTAATTCATTCAGTATTCACTCACTAAATGCTAAACCTAGGTTGATAAAGATTATTTGAACTCAGATAACATCTATCAAGCACACATGATGATATGAGCAAGCTGATTGAATCAAAAATTTCATATATACCGGTAGGTATTTCTAAGAAATTTCTACTTCAAAGAAAATTGATGAAATTAAAGAGCAGCATTTATTTTTGTTTTTGTGTGTTTTTTTTCTTTTCCCCCTTCTTTCTTTTACATCATTTTTGCAAGAAAGAACATACTTTTCCGTATAATTTTCATGACATTTTGCGCACATAATTATTCTCTCTCTTATTTGTTCTGGGCCCCATCTTACAAAGAGTAGGAGACTGCAAACTTGCGACTGGTTGGAGGACTTGCGATTGATTTGGATCAATTTCAACTCTTTGTAAGACGGGGCCCTGATCTGCAAATTAAATGTTTGAAAAAAGTGATGCAAAAGCATAGCAGACGTGCATATTTGACTGGCTAAATATTTTTTTTGTGTGCATAAAGCTTAGCATAAAAGCTTGGCATAAAAGCTTGGCATAAAAGCTTGGCATAAAAGCTTGGCATTAAAGCTTGGCATAGCTCCTATTCATATCTAATGGGCAAGATTATACTAGAGATCATTTGTATACAATGCAGTACAATATAATGACAGATCAGATGCAGCTATTCAAAGAAGAATCGCAATTTAGTACCACTTGCTTTTAAATGAAAATTTGGTAACCTCAAATAGTGCTAAGTACAAAGAATAACCCTATTATTGAGTTCTATGAGAAGTGAGAATTGAAGAAGAAAAAAAGAAGACCTACCAGTACCCCGTTTCCGATCTTAAGTGTTACATTCCAAGAAACCAAAGCATAAAAGAGTTGAAAATAAACAAAGTCATATCAATTTATTCTATAATCCTTAATGTACATGTAAATCAACTCTGTTTCGGAACTTAAATGTTAAAGATTTACAAAAATCAACTTAAATTTCACAACAGTTCAACTAACAACCAAACATTTGTTTTATAAGCCTCTTCATTGGAGATTGAAGACCCATTTGAAATCACCCATTTAATTTTGAGAACAAATTCTTATTTTATTCTTTTCACTTCTATATGGAACTAGATTTTGTGTAAACTTGTTTACTTCTACCAACATAAAAATGAATTTATCCAAGCATTAATTGCCAATTTTAGGTAGGCACAGCCTTATAATTTTAATTATCTCTATGGTATCAAATTTACAGTGCATGTACATAAGGAAAAGATAATACAGCTTATAATAAGAAATAAGGAATCCCCCATCACTATAATTTTTTTTAATCAAGACTAAAACCCCACTTGTTCATGCAGTATGTATAGCACAGCATTTACGAGCTCTTGCAGCGCAGTAGAATATATCCACATAGTTATTGCGCTTTACAAATGAATATGTTATTATTATTATTGTTATTGTTATAATCAACAAGAGAAATGCAAAGCTGAAAACATGTAGAAGTCCTTTTCTGTCATACCTGCGCTGCCAGGCCTCTGCAAGACTGTGTCTGTACTCGGAGATGAACCAGTGCTGAAGAGACTGCTTCCACTAGCAGAGGGGCGGAGTCGATTCTCACTGGCACTACGCGGTAACGACGGCCTCTCGGTGCCATCGGTAGGGGTACGTGCCCCGCCCCCGTTGATGACGGGGCCAGCCCAGTGGTAGTGGGGGCTGGAGGGGGAGGAACCTAGGGTGCTGGAGTTTCGTTGGTGGTAGGGGTTGGAGGAATTGGACGGATAGTAATGGGAGAAGTAGTAGGACGGAGTGATCTGGTTACGATGGTGGGTTTGTATGGCGCCCCCGCTTGGGCCTGGATGGGTCAGTGACATGGAAAGAACGAATGGTGAGTAATGAGTTAAATGCAGGTTGGTGTTATAGTTCAGTATGATACGAGTTCACTGACAATGTAAAAACAGTAATTTTTGATAGATACAATTTCACTGCTAAGGTCAATACAAAATATGTAAAAACATATTGAGAAAACTCACAGATGCTTTATCCCTTGAACTCATTTGAGTTGCAGAAAGTAAAAGTATGTGTATTTTTTACATAGACCAACATTTTGAATTTCTTTAGATGAGCAAAATTTACTACGTTATTCATATTTTTACAACAACTGGCAAATCGGGTATAAATTCATCACCAATAATCTCATATCACTTTTGAAAATTAATGTATTACATTGTCAGTAACTGAGATGGGAATATACAGAATATGAAACCCACAAATATTAGTTATAGTGATAATGACCCAATAGATAATGTATAAATAAAACTAAATGATACAACAAGATAAAAGTTTGAATCTCAGAGGAAGGTCTTACCCTGAAGTGAATAATAGTTATTATTATTCTCAATGACAGTAAACTCTATGCATAAAAAAAGGATCAAATGATTATTTGGGATGCCAGAGGATATATCCTCTTATTAAAGCAAAGAACATCTCAATTACTTTGTAAGACATAAAACCAGGAACAGATTTCATAATAAAGGCTATACAGAGGGGCAGCTCTGATAACCAGGGTAATAGTGTGTAAAGCGCCAAGAGCGTCAGGGCCTGGCGGATATCGGCGTTATACAAATACATGTATCCATATTATCATAAGGACAATCTAGCTCTACATGTATATACTTGGTATCTGATAACATACATATAAATAACCATACTACAGGTAGTTAACAAACACGAAAATTATATATATTCTAAAACATGACTTGAGATATCAAATTTTTCAGAGAAGTTCTACTTACATATGCATACATGTACACTGATTTTTGAATACCTCCAATAACAATACCAGAAAATAAGTTTACTTTAAAAAAATGATACCAAGGGTATTCAAAGTTAACGATGCACGAAGCAAAAACATATATACTATTGGCTTGATATTGAATACAGAGTAACTTCTTACATTTTCCCTGTTATTTCTATCATGGGTACTCTACTGCTATGCTTTTTTTATGGTATTCATCCAGAACAACTAAGCAATTTTATCTTCTTCTCCTGAATAACCAAAAATAAATGAAAATGGTGTCCTAGCTCACCCTGTGGAAAGGTGTGTGTCCACCTGCGTCTGTTAGAGGTCAGCTTGACCACCAAGCTGGACGTTCCGAATGGATTCACCAATGCCCTTGGCTGGCCCTGACCGGCCTGGTTGAAATGGGCAGTGGTAGCCCCAGCGCTTCCCACCACGATGCCCTTGGGAGAGGTCGAGGCGGTAGTGCTCTCTGAAGAGTCTCTACGTCTTGCTTCAAAACTATGGCTAATCACGTTGGCTGGACATAGAGATAGAGACCAATATATATGCATGATATTAAATTTATGGTATTTTGTTAAAAACTCACTATGAACCTGATGTAGACTTGTTTGAACTGTCTCAAGAAGAATTTATCTGTTTCTTATAACAAACAATGAAGACTATTGTGGATGCCAAGAATATACAAAAATCTATCACTTACATAACATTGTGACGTACATGTAATTCAAATTAATCTCTTACGAGTAGAGTACATGTAGTTCCTTCCTACAACACATACAGATGTTCAATATTAAAGATTGTATGAAAATTAATTAATTCACAAAAATACTGCTAATACTTTTTCCAAGATATTGCCAATTTGACCATTCTTTATCTCTTATTTTATTGTTAAATGGGCAGGATTTTGCAGCTGAAGAGAAATCACTAGTATGGATATCAGATCATAGCTTGAGATTCACATATATATGTATGCAGCTTTGAAGACAAAAAATAAATATTCAGCAAACATATCATTTACATATCGTCTTACAAACGGTTGGGATTAATCGCAACTTATTACATACATAAGAGATAGGAAACTGCAAACTTGCAATTGCAAATCATCATGAGACGGGGCCCAGATTGTACAGAAACTGTCGGCTTACCTTCTCTTTGGATTCTGGCAAGTGGGTTGGCTTTATTGCCCCTCCCTGGAATGGCTATTGCAGCATCCCCATCTTCTGAATGGTAGCTTCCCTGCTTGGCACCAGGAGAGCTATTCCTTCTACCTGGATCTATCACGTCTGGCTTGGTCCATTTGTTCTGAACATGGTATACAGGGGGGTGGGGAACGTGAAGAAGTTAAAGAGGGAGTCAACCCTGATATTAAGTTGGTTTTAACAGAAGCAGAAAAAAAAGAGAGGAGCATGTCAGTAAAGTTTGAGCAAAGTCTTATAAAAAAAATAAGAAAGTTATGAATTTTTGAAGTTGTGATCAGTCAAATACAAATTGTCAACACTGTGACGTATCTTGTGAGCTCTAATCCCTCCTTGGCAAACTAGTGCAGATAGGCTATAAACTAACTTAATATCAGGTGGACTTTCTCTTTAATAACATATCAACTTATCTCTGTGGTAGTATTTCACATGGAAAACTTGAATTAAATAATGAGAGATGTACAAAACATACTGAAATTATGACATTTAATGAAGGGTAACTCTCACCTGAGGTGATCCCTGTTTGTCAAAAGTCACATGACCTACAGATCCAGGTTGCCGTTGACGATGCTGACCACCTGATGATGGACGCATAGAAGCTGGTGTCCTAGAAACGTGGAAAAAGACAAACAGACATACGCATTCATACGTATGAACACAAATACACAAATGAGATACAGTGAGATACGCACATGAAACAAGCAAGTAATGTTGTCAACCTCTGTGTGGTGAGCCGTGTGAACTGATTTCTGTCTGTTGAATGACCACAACTGAGATAACAAGCAACACACCTCTAGAAATTTATGTTAGAGACTTTTCGGTTTGATTGTATTTTTGGTCCCTGTTCACCATTTTGGGGTACCAAGGCTTGAATGGCTGTAGTTGAATGGAATTGTACATGGTTTCAACTACACGTATAGCGGAGCCCATACATAAAAACCACTTAAAAGGTAAAAAAGAAACATAGTCTCTATATGGAGGTGGTCTTAAATGGAGTGGGTCGTTGGTTTCCATGTGCAGAAGGACACAATTCGCTGACACCAGACTTGGTGGAAATACCATAAATATAATGGGTGTACAAATCTGCACACAGCAAATATGTAGGCCTGTTAAGAAATACCCCCTAGTCTCTCGGAGAGCCTTTGGGTGAGGGAAAAGTCAAAGCATTACATAAGGCCTGTTGGTCCTCAAACCGAAGGCTAATCCTGGTGATTGACAACACCTGAATTGGGTAAACACCTGAAAGGTGTCTATTTCCCCATGAGAGCCCACTCCTATGCATCTTTAACGTCCAAGTTTCTTGAAGACAACAGGCCAGTCTAATTCAAATAAATAATTCCTTTTAAGAGAAGCAACTACTGTCACGTGATATTTCTGGACAGGTGGTATCTCTGCAGGAACATGGATGCAGCCATTACCTAGGTTTGGGTGATTTGCCACTGAGTACACCAAAGACACCCTCATCATACTCCTCACACAGGTAGTCTATATCATCCGGTTTGGGGAGGGAGTGGTCCGAGGATATGTGACGCAGCAGGGCGTGTCTGCTCATCACCTGTGGGCAGCACTTGACTAGGGTGGGAAGGGCGTCTCCATTCTGAGATGTGTATATCTTGGATGAAATGGAGTGGCGACAGAATAGAAAGTGATTAGTTATTAAAATTACATTTCATGGATCTTATCCTTTTCTATGTGTATTCATCTAGAGGCATTGGAAATACATGTATCTGATGTGTTTAAAAAAACAAAAAAACAATCTCTGCAGCACTTTTTACACACCTACTTTTTTTTCTATCAGGAAAATTCATTAGTATTATTTTTGAGAATAAAAAATTTGATCTCAATACACACAAAGTGTGACCAAAAGTTTAATTCTCAAACGAAAGTAATTGTTTATTTCATTACAAACCCTGTATCAATATCATAAATGAAAATTTCAATAATAATAATACAAGAAGGCATGGCATTATGCATTCTAAGAAAAGCACTAAATCAAACAATCTTGATGATGATCAAGTTATCAAAAAAATAATTCTCTTCTTCTTTCTAATTTTGTCCAACATGATTTCACATCCCTAGGAGTGATTAAACAGGCAGGGTAAGATGTGATTGTTGATATTTGGGCAGAGAGAGAGAGAGAAAGAGAGAGGGGTAGGGAGGAAAAGGGAGAGAGAGGGAGAGAAATAACAGCCTTTTTTTTCTTTTGCTCGAAAAAGATGATGGTGGATTTCTATTTTTAAACTTATCTCTCTCATAACGCTATCATAACGCATCACATAAATTTACCTTCTCTGCTAGCTTGATTCTTGGTTTGAATTTATCATTAATGCCATGTACCCCCTCTTTGGTGTAGAAGCTGTAGTTGAGCCAGTGAGGGATGTTGTAGTCTCCTCTCTGGACATGCACGTCTTTGGTCTTGTTATGGAACTGCAAAAGAAGGACATTATTATTCCACTACTTGCAGAATCAAACAGAGAATAACACAGCATTCATAATGTATTCCAGATAAATGATGATCTCTCAGTATGACATTTTACATTATGAATGGAGATTTGTCTTAGGAACAGTTCGATACAGTCGATTCAAATATTGCATATAAATCAATAAAAGTAATTTGATTTAACCCAAATAAAAAGTTTCATAATTCATCATTAAAATTGTCACAAAATTGCTATATACTGTATAAAGCCATTGAAAAAAAAAGTAACTTTTTAGAGTATCATACTTTTCTTAGTCTTTTCCACAAACAGATACCAAAAGAAACCAACTTTGTAACTTTGACCGACTGCTCTATTAACTTGTGAACTAAAAATTGTAATATTTTGTATATGTACTTACCCTAAACAGAGGCACTGCATGTAGAGGCTGTTCAGCTAGACATACTAGATCACTGCCTATACCTGATACAAAAAGAAACAAAAATAAGAAACAAATGTTAGAGGGAAACACGCACACGAAATAGAGATGAAAATGAAGAACAATTAATATACTTCTAACTAAAATATGCTGGTCTTTTTCTTGAAAGTTTAGAATATTTTTACGAATGTGAATAGATTCATAGATTGTGAAGTAGCTTGAAGATGCTTCATAGTAGATACAATACAGTGCATGCTTCACGGTTTGAGTCCTGACACAGCACTATTGTCATCTGGCTAGATGTTACTCTACATTTGCCACTCTCTACCCAGGGGGGGGGGGGGGGGTCATATAGCTGTTTGTAAAGTTATGCATGACTTTACGAAGGACTGTATATGAAGTGCCAGATAGAATGCCCAAAGTTTTTTCTGATATTTTCAATAACCTCAATTAAATTATGGCAGAAAAATTAACTTGCATTACAAATGTTTGTTATCATAAGAACGTTAATCTACATCTGCACAGTTCAACTTTCGTTGATGTATTTAATAATGATTGAGCATCCCATTTGGCTTTTCATATACAAGTCGTTTGTAAAGTCATGCGTAGCTTTACGAACAGCTTTATGAAACACCTCCCAGGTGTACTAAATGTGTAACTGGTAGAAAGACATTCCTTGAATGCTTGTTGCACCATACGGCAGCTGGGCAAAACCCAAGGTAGTATTATGTTGCTTTGTATATGCCTTGAGCATCCCTTGAGATGGATATGTGTGCAATATAGATGTAGCAACAAATGTACACTGCTTATATCAACATTTTATCAAACACTAGAAAATGGACTGCAACAAATTCTTGTCTCATGAAATTGTATTAGATTCAATAATTAATTAACTGTCATTTTGAAAATTTAGTGGCACAGCTAAATCCTTCCTTACCATTATCAATCATTCTCTGTCTGGTGATTTTGCACATTTCCCTGTCGACATCAAAGACTCCAGCTCCCGGGGTCAGTAACACGACCAGCTGACCGGTGCGCTCAAAGTTACGGTCAACATAATGCTTGTCAAACACTGGATAGGAGGTACAAAAAAGAAAACTGGACATTAAGCCTTGTTCAATATTGACACAGTATAATGTCTTCAAAAGTGACCAAAGAAAAAAAGAAATCATAGTGCATTTCATAATTCTGTACCTCATTACGTACAGATACGCCAATGCACTTGGGGGCGTTTGTTGTGCGCACCTACCGTTTTTTTAAATTTCAACTTGCCATTCATTTCAATGTAAAATGTTTTACATTTGCAACTGCAGTCTTTTGAGGCAGTTTACCTACTTAAGACTGAAAATAGCTTTACACTGCCATTACGATAATATCCTCAATGCACATTCTGAAGCAGTATATCATATAAAGGTTCATTTCAATGGGCATTAAGTTCATGTAAAAAGTAAATAAGTTAATATCTTCTGGCTGTCAGCAGACAATATATTTGCAAAATACTAAACGTATTGAATGCTGCATAATTATGATCATCTATTCCTCACCATTGAGAGTCATGTTTAGAGTTTCCAAGAAGTTTCCTTCTGCAGCTGATGAGTTGTAGCCTGGGGGTATTTGTCCACCTAGATGGAGAAAACAAAAAATGGTGGAGAAACACTTAATCTCTCAAGCTTACTATTATAATGATGACTCAACAGTTTTCCAAAGTGAATGTTATGACATTCAAGAAAAAGGGCCCATGCACAATTGGATCTGAATGAAAGACAATGTTTACACATGTACTCTTTATCATATATACGTACATTAAAATGTTTCTGGGTTTCACATAAAAGACTCCTTTAGAGAGTTCAATGAGTCTTGAGGGCACTTAACTTGTGTTTCGTATAAGACTCGATTATAGTATACAATTATTATAAGTGAGCATTAAGCGTGCTTACCTCCTAGAGTTTCACAGAAGACTTCTTTGAATTACACTTGAAATAAGTTGTAAAAAGTGTAACTTTTTTCATATTATTTAATTTCCATATTGGAATAGTAAATAAAGTAGACTGCATTTGAGGTAGCGAGTCTTGAGAGTGCCTACCTTCTTGAGTTTCACATAAGATATATTTGAGGTAGACTGTAAATCAGGTGTATGTGTACATTCTTTCATCTTACTTGTCTTACAAATAAGATTCCCATTCAATTTTTCTTTGAGGCAGCGAGACTTGAGAATGCTAACTTTCCTGAGTTTCACATAAGACTTTTTTTTAGTTACACTGTACATAAGGTACACTGCATTTGAGGTAGTGAGTCTAGGGAGTGCTTACTTTCTTGAGTTTCACATAAGACTTCTTTGAGTTAAACTGTAAATAAGGTACACTGCATTTGAAGTAGTGGGTCTTGAGAGTGCTTACTTTCTTGAGTTTCACATAAGACTTCTTTGAGGTAGACGATAAAGTGAGCCTTGAGTGTCTGGAGTAGCCCATGCCATTCATCTCTTCTCTCGTGATGGACGACGGCACGATAGAAATCTTGGTAGAACCGACCGGCGTAGTCAACCTTCACATTGTCTCGCATCCACTTGGGGAACTGGTCTGCTTGAACAGAGATAAATGACAACTCACTGAAAGGGAACACTTGATCAATAGGGAATATACAGATCTTAAATGATTTCAGACATTCATATTTAAGTGTTATGGGCAACAATACAACCCTCCCCCAAAAAAAAATTTCCACAGAAATACCTTCTTTAAAAAAGTTTTGTGAATAACGCAGTTACTGAATGTTACTGGATGTCATCAACAAAAATGAGGGGAAAAGGGTGGGCAAATTCTTCTTTTCACAAGGTAATGGACTTTAATAGAGATAGGTCGAGATCAATGTTGCTGTATATGATAAATCATGTAAATTAATGGACAAATTTAACCACAGAAGAAACTTGAAAGATGACCATTTGCTTTAACTTTTAAAAAATAATGGGCGCTTTGCTTTCATATCAGATAAAGTTAGTGTAATCAATACAAGACAGGAAATAATATTAAAGTCAAGTATGAACTCACCAAGTGACTTAGCTTTGAAGAATGTACGAGAGAAGAGAACCACAGTGGCCTCATTGTTGACCCCTTTATCTCTCCATTTGTTAAAGAGATCTGTCAGAAATCCACCGACAGCCTTCTCCCAGTAAAGGTCACCTATAGGAAACAGTATAAGATAACAGATAAAGTTTTTGAACACATTAAAAAAGAAAATTTATTAGGATCGCTGTATACAAGTAGGAGAGAAGTACAGTGACCTCATAGTTGACCCTTTATCTCTTTATTGCTGAAGAGTAAATAATCTGCCAACAGCCTTCTCCCAGTAAAGGTCACCTGTGGTACATATTAAACGTTTGAAGACTGATTGATCAAAATAATTATTTTTTTAATTAGATATTTCACCATAGGGTCCATGTTAGGCACCATAGTAATACTAGTAAACTTTACTGCAGAACTTGTTAGTACGATGCTAATCTGCCACACGATCAAATCTACACATTGACCAACACAACCTTGACAATTGCCATTACCTTACAAGTTCAGTTTTTAGGCAGTTTATCACACCATGTCTAAACAGGTTTAACTGTTCACAAAATCTTGAACCATTGAATTTGCAATTTTAATCTTACCACATGTATCAAAGTCCCACATCTCTGAGCTCATCTGAATGAAGAGATAGACCATGGCTGTAGCTGATCTAAAGGCTACCCTTGTATCGTTGGTGATGGCTCCGCAGGACACCCTCTCCCAACGAGACCAGAGTTCCTGGACCTGGGCACGGATCCCACTCAGTTCTAACTTCTGCTGAATGTGAATACATGTGTCCACCTAAAATATGGAGATGACAATCAATAAGGTTTGGGACCTGTCTTATAAAGAGCTGTGATTGATCCAGAAGGATGGCATTCCCCCCATCGATGCGAACTTACAAATTCCTATCTCTTTGGTATAGAGTTCACATTGATTTCAGGTTGCAATCAATTTTTAACCAAATACCTTGGACTCACACAAATATAAAGTATTTATGTCTGCGATTTTACCATACTGTGTTTTGATGGTTGATGTTTATTTTTCCTAACTGCTAGCTAAGAAAGCATGTGTAACTTGTAAGTAAGCAGCCAGGGGACCGACAGCTTTAAGTCCTCCCTGAGGGACTTGGTAATAAAGATTAATGATTTACCAAAGGGAACGAGTGCATTGACTTGGTTTCAAACCTGGGACCTCTCAGTTACGAGGCCACTGCTCTACTACATGTACAGAGCCATCATGCCTCCTCCTTTTTTAAGTCTCTACATATCATTTGTGCTGCTACTGGTGAACTTGTGTACAACTTCTGCAGGCTGGACCTTTATAACTGAGACTTTCGATTTGACATCCTATCTGAGGAACAGTGTACTCACCAGGCTGTTCTTGAGTCTCCACATGTCGATCATGCTGATGTACTGTTCCTTGAAGACCAACTCCACCAGGTCTAAGGCCACATCTTCAGGCTAGACCTTAGTGATCCTGACATTTTATTACAAATGGTCTCGGGGTGACCCTCTATTTAACATCCTATCTGAGGAACAGTGTACTCACCAGGCTGTTCTTGAGTCTCCACATGTCACTCCTGCTGATGTACTGTTCCTTGAAGACCAACTCGACCAGGTCTAAGGCCACATCTCCAGGCTGAACCTTGGTCACCTTGACATTCTTGTAAGCCCTCAGCTGAAACAGGGACGCCACTCCCTGCTCTACACTTATGATTTCTGTGGGGAAATGCAATATTTGTTAGCAATGAAGAGATAATCTAATAATTCAATTATATTACTTGGCTAAAAACATACAGTGTAGCTTTGGATATTTTATCTGGAATTGACAGGGTCATGACTGAAGAATTATTAACCAATGCATTTACACATTTAAAGGTTACACAGATAATGCACATAGGCATCTAGAATATAATGGCATCACATTACCTAGACAGGTATTATCACAGTTCCAAATGAACTCCGGTACAGATTTGAAGATTATTCATTATATTGATGAATGATTGTACCATCTGTTTGGAGCCAGAAGTACATTAACTTCTGTATAACACAGAGTTAACAGCCTTCTGGCTCTGTACAGATGATTTGTAATGATGCTAAAGATACATTTTATTCACCTTTACTGTTCTGTTGAAGCTCATCTTTGAAGGATTTGACTTGCAACAGCAAGTGACTGAAAGACAAAATGAACGAAATATGACTTTCTTATGTGTGACTGCTAGAATTGGACAAGGGTCAGAGTATTGCATGTACTATGAACATACCAAGATCAAAGAGGGATCTATCAAAAGTTGTGAAATGATTCTTCTAAAATTTGTCAGAGTGAACACAATGAATCCTCTGGATGAAAAACTAAAAATTGAAAACTTGTATCAAAACATATTAAACAATACAAACCTTTATTTAAACAATTAGATTTCAGGAAATCTATTTGTCCTTTATATCAATTTGCGAGCATTGCATAATAATATTCTGACTTCTAGAGTAGACTTCAATCACATGGTTAGATTTTTATTTTTATTTCGGGCTTACACCTTCAGATACAACATTTATCTTCAGTTGCAATCACCCCAAGTCAGTTATCCAAAAACAAATAAAAAAATTATGAGATGATATATGAATTGAAATCCTGTAATTGGTCCAATAGGTCATTTGAATTTCTTTTATCCCTTTGATAAATACATCTTCAATGTTTATGTGGGTGGGAAAGTGGATTCTCTCTAAGGGCTTCACAGGGTGCTATCTTACCTGCTTTCTTCATCAGGATGATAAATTTCCAGGATATCACCAATCTTGACATCAGGGAACTCTTTCGGGTTGATCAGTAATTCATTTTCTGTATCAAGAAGAACAAAATATTATAGCTTCAGTCCATTGTAAGGTGAAGAAAAAATGGGGAATTTCAATCCTACACTTCAGTTCATTTGCAAGTAAATTATATATTCATATTATAATAGAGAGGCTGTGCCCTCATTTGCACACCGCAAAAGCTATCAAGGTCTAGATCTCAATGCAAACAGCAATACTTGATGTGACCTGAAAGACACCCACAAACAGCCCTGAGTCTGAAATCACTGTGACCAAAAATATAAAGCACATGGAGATTTGACAGTAGTTTTTTAGTTGGTTTTCTACCTAATTATTCACATCTGAAGTGAAAAACCATGCATGGCACGTTTTTGTTAAAAACACGTTAGCCATAAATGAATGGCAACTTGTTAAAGATAAACTCAAGTTTTAAAAAAAAGAAAATTTATTCTCACAGAATCAAACGAAACTTACACTGAATGTTCAAGATTACAAATAAATGACATGTGCTAAACAATTTTGGAAGATAATGTATACTGGCTGTCTGGCTGAGTAATGAGCATAGAAAGACAAGGAAATCAAGGTAGTACTAGCCCCTACACCATGTGTGTTGTCCCATATATAGCTTTCTGTGTACAGTGCTTGTTACTTTACCAAGACTCGGTCAAATTTATTATGATTTTGATGACTCCAGAACCTTGCAGTGTACACCAATACAATGTACTTACATGCTACATGATCAACTGTTTCTGATCCTTCCACACCTTTTCTTTCACAATATCGCATTACCAGTACTAAAGTTTATCTTAAATCTTTAATGTGCGTAACATATTCGCATATTCACTGAGCTGTGTGTGATCAGAGTTGGAAAATATGAAGCTTCTTGCACACGTCTCATGTTTAAGATCATTCCCCGGATCGGAATAGACCTACTACAATTTATATGTTTGTAAAAAGACTAAAAACTAAAAGTAAAAGCCTACACTCACAAACACACACACATATTCACACTAGGCCTACTGTCGAGCCGTGTCGACGCAACATATTTGTTAGAGGATGCATGAAAACTGTTATAGAGTTGGATAATTGATCATCGATCATGAAGCCGGGACAACCAACCTGTTCGGACTAGCTATGCCGCATTATTGGCTATGGAATTGTGGCCTGTTTATTTCACAACCCATCTTGGCAAGCATGACATTGACAAGATCTAACTTTATTAGACCTGTTTGCAGAGATTATATTATTATTTGTAAAATCAGTAATCAATATGAATCATATTAGGGTCCAAAATGGTAGACGTCGTTTGAAAGTTTTGTCTGACTAAACACAAAATGCAGTGATGACAGACAGCTGACAGAAAACCAAACAGCTGGGACGCACGTTCCCACGGATTCTCGTTAAATTTCTACGGGAAACGAGCGGCGCAGTGTTTTGAGCTCTCGATGAATCTCAAGGCTAGTCGCGTGACTCTGAGCTGAAGATGGCGAGTTTCTGCGCTTTTACTTACCACTAAATGCCTTTTGATGAACCCACAGCTTGAAATTCTTCATCTTGAAAGAGTCTGTCAGACGTCATCTGAATCACTTACCACCAATGTATTATAATTATCGAATAAAAAAACATGTTTTTCGTTGTTTTGATAAATGACTTGCGATCAGCTCTTTGTCGAGATCGATACCGATCGCATTGATTTTATGGTGATCGGATTTTTCTCTTTCTGATTAAATTCTTCTTCTTCTTCTTCTTTTTTACCCTAGCTAAAGTGCAAATGCAAAAATTATCGAAATCATTTCGCCTTTTCACCAAAATCTTAATAGTGGGTACCTTTTTCTCTTCCAAAGAATATATAAGCCTCTATCACTTCCAAGTTCTAAACCAAATCTGACTAGCCCCCCCCCCCCCCCCCCAACCCCCACCACCACCACCACTACCAGTAGAGTACGCAGGATTTTTTCAAGGGGGGGGGGGAGCGGGGGTTGAAAATAGCGCTGAAAATTTTGCAACGACTCAGCCAGCCGCTGAATAAGCGGGGGGGGGGGGGGGGGGGGGGGGGGAATGAGCACAATTTTTTTTTTTTGGGGGGGGGGGGTGTCCAGTTTTTGAGGGGAAATTTCGCAACAACTCAGCCGGTCGCTGAATAAGCAGGGGGGGGGGGGGGGGGGACGGGGTTGGTTATAGCACACTTTTTTTGTCCCGAAAATTTGAATTTTTTAAACAATTTATTTTATTTGACAAAAAGTGAGGGGGAGGGGGATATCCTCCGATACCAACACATTAAACAAATTTGAGGGGGTTAACTCCACCCCCCCCCCCCACCCGTCTGCGTACGCGCCTGACAACCACACCCCGGTTTTCGGTGGGGAGTATAGGCAGTGTCTACAGTCTGGGATTCTATTGGCTAAGTTTTGAAATTGGCGAGATGCATTATGCAGTTTGAATGAAGGAATATAAATCAGCAAAAAAAATATGTTAAAGCATTTGCAGATCTCATGGGGGGTGGGAATTTGTACCCAACTGAGGCAATTATTTCTTTGCAGTTTTTACTGCTGGTAGAGACAAATGAAAATAATAAAAACAAAATAAGAGTAATTAAAATCCTCATTATAGTTTTGGCAAAATGTGAGATTTCTTTACTTTTTCTGTGCCTCTCTTTTTTTCTTCTCCTGGCTCTTTAATTATTTATCTCACGAGGCTTATTTAGATTTCTCCTTTTTTTTATATTTCATGTTTTATGGATCCTTTTTATTTCAGATGAAACATCAAATCATTATAAATTATGGTGCATCGTAAAAATTTAAATATAAATGACGTGTATAACAATCATCATACAAACCTAACAAAAAACAACTAGGTCTAGTTGTCGAATTTCATATTTCTTTCTTGCTTGTCAGACATTTTGTCTCACATATACACATTGATCTTACCATCAGTGGCGTAATGAGTGGAGCCAATAAGCGGCCAATAAGACTTTGGATAGGCCTATTATAAATAAGCATGGTACCGTGAGAATAACAAAGGCAAATACTTCTTCTTCTTCTTATTATTATTATTATTATTTGATCTCCTTCATCTTTTTTTGTTTCATCCTCCGATAGTTTCGAAGAATATCCAAAGCTTATCTAGGCCTAACGATTTACGATAATAATTATTATATTCCACATACTAAGAATCTTGCTCTACGATTGGTCAAAAGTAAATCACGTGATGAAAGATAGTTCGCCCATTATTGATGGGAGAAGCAAAAAGTTCGTTACACTGTGTAGATAGTATTACTATCTACACAGTGCAACGCACTTTCACTGAAGTTAGAGGTACTATCTACACAGGGCAATCTATTTTTTCCGACAAAAGTACAGAAAATTTGCATAATGGTCTTTTTATATAATTATACTTTATAAAATGTTACCCGAGTGATGCTCCCGGGTACCCCAATGCTGGGAAGAAACGCACATTTTAGAAAACTTCACTTTTTCATAGAAAAATGCTTATTTTGTTTTATGCACGCAAGTCAGATTGATTGGATGATACAACGTTTCCATATGAGAGGACAACGATTACCGACAAAACTAGCCACAAATTAAATGTCCCAATATTTACAAATTTAACCTTATCTATAGTATACTTGCGTATGCGCAAATGGTCATTTTCCTCGACAACATAAATATACGAATTATTTCGTCAACTTAGTCAGCATCATAGCTATATATTTTAATGGAGGCGCGGAGCGAGGATCTTTTTAGGGAGGGGCGCGGTATAGTGATCAAGCGAATCACTTGGGGTGGGTAATAATTATGCCTCCCGCGCAAAGCGCGAAGCTTAAGACGTTTCCTTAAATTAATAGGAAAAGAAGACGATTTATTGTACCGTTCTCGACTGTTAATCCTTGTCTGAATAAAGTTCCCCCCCCCCCTCACGCGCGAAGCGCGGAAGTTTGGCGTTTCATTGATTATTAGATAAAGTAGACGATTCGTTAAACCATGCTTGACTCTTAACCCTAGGCTTGTCTGAATTCAGTTTCTCCCCCTCCCGCGCAAATCGCGGAAGCTTTTACGTTTCATTAAATTATGAGAAAAGAAGACGATTCGTTGTACCGTTCTCGACTCGTCTAAATGAAATTTTCCCCTCCCGCGCGAAATTTTGGGCGTTTCATCAAATATATAGAGAAAAGAAGACGATTCGTCGTACCGTTGTTGACTCTTAATCCTTCAAGTTCTTTGAATTTAGTTTCCCTGAAAAAAATTAAACCTCTGATTTCTTTAGCTGATATTATAGAAAAGTGAAACTTCGAGAAAATACAAGTATTGTAGTCGTAGTCACTCTCGAAGTCGTCACAGTTCGTAGGGAAAAAAAACTTGTCGGCAAACGGACAATATACATCTCACCGACTTCAAACTTCTGCATTGATATAGTACTCGAGGATCGAGCAAGAATACCGACACAGCTGACCCGACACAGTAACATATTTACCCGTGTCTTTCTCGCTCCCTCGACGAGGCGACTCCACCCAACAACCCCCTCTCTCTTTTACTCCCACTCCTCCTCTCTCAGACTCTTACCAGGGGTACCTCCCCTCTCTCTCCTCTCTTTTACCCTCTTTCTTTTGTTATCCTTTTCTTTCTTTTCTTTTTTCCCTTTCTTTCCTCTCCTCTCCCCCCCCCCCCTTTCCCTTCTTATTTTCCCTCCGCCCCTCTTCTCTTTTTTCCCGACGGCAGCGCAATTTTACCGACAATATCCTGACAGGTGCCGGGGGGGGGGGGGGTGTCGCACCCCCACACCCCCTTTGGAGACGCCCCTGCTGGCACCTGCCAATCTGCTTTGAAAAGAAAAAGAAGAAGACAAAAAGGGGTATCGACCGAAATTAAAGGTGGAAATGATTACCCCAAAAAAGAAGAAGAAGAGAAAGAAAAAGATCGAAGAAGCTAGAAGACCGAAAAAGGTGGAAAAGATTACACAAAGAAGAAAAAGTAGAAGAAGAAGACGAGAAGAGGAAACAAGAATACGAATACACCAAAGGAGGAGGAGGAGGAGGGGTGGCCGGGATGATTACTAAAACAAAAACAAATTTGTGAAATAAAGAATGAGCAATTATTTAGCACTTCTGTATATAGCACTCGAAACGTACGTACGTTTTAGGCGAATCGGTTATCACGCACATCCTCAACGTGTGCGTACACATCAGGAGCGAAAAGCTGACTGCTACAGCTTCATTTATCCGAAAACACACTCAAGGAGGGAGGATTGATAGCTGGCATTTGTTGAACAAATTCATGAGTTGGACAGAGACTGATACTAGGTAAGAGTACATTTATATCAATTAGAGTAATGTGTAGAATGTATCCTGTATGTATGATCAAACAACAGCTGGTTGGCGTTTATTCGCCTCTAGCTCAGGTAGTTAGCGCTACATGCAGTTTTCGTGCGGCACTCCCTTGGGCGCGATTCGCTGTACTATAGCTACTGTACTAGCACAGGTAAGGGCTCGGGCTCATCATATTACGTTCAAAGGGATGCACATTGGCTCCGCGATCTACCAGCATCGGCACCACCACCTTGCAGGCTTGCATCGATGTCGGGTGTGCGGCATCCTCTATGCCCGCCCAAAAGGACAATTACGGAAATAACACATAGGCCTACTCTTCTTCAGCATATTATAAAAATAGGGGATTATAGGATCAAGGTATTGCAACATTTACAAGTAAATACATGCATTTTGATTTGATGATGATGATGATGATTATGGTGCTGATATTAATAATGATGATAATGATATGATGATGATGATGATGATGATGATGATGATGATGATGATGATGATGATGATGATGATGATGATGATGATGATGATGACTAGTGATGATATTATGATGATGATGATGATGATGATGATGATAATGATGATGATGATGATGGTAATGATAATGACATTAATATACAAGATGATGTTGAAATTGATAATAATAAATATATAATTATGATGGATGATGATGATAATGATAATGATTATAATATAAACAATTACTATCTGGATTTTAAAAAAGTAAGTAAGAAAGAGAAATGTGATATAATTTTATGGCAAAATTAAATAAGTTAAAGAAGAGCTGAATTATTATTATTGTTATTATTATTAGTAGTATTATTTCCATGATTTGAAGTATTATTATTATTACCATTATCATTATTATTATTATCATTATTGTTATTATCTATATTATCTATATTTATTTTGAATAGTGAACTTCAATTTGTAACTGATACCGGTATCTATAAATGTATTTTCTTATCATATTTTGAATGGCCAGGAATATTATTTTGAATTTCTGCATGTAAAAACCAATTCTTGTATACATAATAATGTGAACGATATTATTTAATAAAGGATCCCTGTGGAAGGGAAAAAAAAAAAAAAAAAAAAAAAATTATTGTTATTATCATCATATGTATTATTATTATTATTGTCATTATCATTACTATTATTGCTATTATTGTTATTATTATTTTTATTTTCATTGCTGTGGAATTGCTTGCCAATTACATTTGGTGGAAAGTCTGTAGTTACAGTATTATGTGTGAAGCAGATTTATTTACTTTTTTTATTGCTGTCAAATTTATAAATGATTATTCTTTCTCTTGTCTAATAATTTCAACAGTAGCTCTATTTACAAGATTCAAAATCAGTCTAATTCTACCGAATTACATC